TTATAACGTCTTAGGACATATTAATTATTAGATTATAACGTCTTAGGACATATTAATCTTAGACAAGTGGTATTCTAAGACATTTTAATATATTAATATATTAAAATGTCCTAGAATACCACTAACTTTTTTGTTTAGATTGTTGGGATGACGAACCAGCAAATCGACCATCTATGAGCGTAGTTGTCAAACGATTAAAACAAATAATTTCAAAATCAGATATAACAACAGACGAAAACTCTGATAAGATAATTACAAAAAAAATTCAAGATATTGAACCTACAATAACTACAAAAGAAGTTATCAGTAAAAGGAATTTATCCGTAAAGGATTTAAGGATCTTAGTTGATGAAACGGTAACTTTTATTTTTAAAGAACTAATTAAGAAAGGAAAAGTTCAAACGTTGAGTGACAAATCAATTTTTGATTTTTTTAAAAATCGAAATGTCACATCATTTGAAATTTGTAGAATCCATCATTGGCTTTCAAGTAATCAAATTTTCCAAATTCTTTCTTTTTACTTGGTTATTTTCATTTTTTTGGAATTGAAACATGTAAAGATTATATAAAGACGTTAGATTTATTTATGCTTGCTTCCAGGAAAAAGCATACATTGGCACAATTTTATGTTGGAATATGCTATTATGAAGGGCATGGGGTTGCGAAAGATGTAAAATTTGCTTTTGATTATTTTTTAAGAGTAGCTAAAAAGGATTTTGCGGTGGGACAATTATTTATTGGTTATCGTTTTGCACTTGGAATAGGTGTTAAAAGTAAATTAAAACAGGCTATTAAATGGTATACAAAAGCTGCAGATAATGGAAATATCATTGCTAATAATAATCTCGGTATTTGTTATAAAATTGGAAAAGGTGTTGAAAAAGATTTCAACAATCAGCTAAAGGAAATTATTCAAGTGGAATATTAAATTTAGGTTATTGTTATGAAAATGGACTTGGTATTGAGATTAATATGCAAAAAGCACTTGAATTATATGAAGCTGCTGCAAACTTAGAAAATAAAATAGCTCAATTTAATATCGGTTGTATGTATGAAAATGGGAATGAAATTGATAAAGACATGGATATAGCAATTTGTTGGTACAAAAAATCTGCTAAACAGGGATATCCAGATGCTCAAAATAAATTGAAAATTCTTTTGAACATTTAAAAAATGAAACGACAATTTCACCTTTCCATATTTTGTTATTCTCCATATTTTTTATTCACAATATATAATTTGTTTAAATATAGTCTTACAAGTAATTGAGGATTTAAGAAAACAGGAGATAATTATTTAAATATTAAAAAAAAGAAAATACACATACTGTATAATTTATGGATTGGGTATCTGGGTCAGTTAATTGATAGGTTAAGTCATTTATTAAGTTTTAACTAATAATAGCTAAGTGTTTTTATTCGTTCCTAGTATTATAGTTTATTAAGTGTATTAATAAATAATTTTTCATTTTAGTAATATATTTTACTGACTTGCTCATTTCTTCAAAATTAGTAGAAAAAATATATGTGTCATATGGTCTTCCATTTTATTAAATCTTAATTTAATAGGCTTTATTTATTATTTTCGTTGAAATTCTAAATGCATCCCTTTGATTAATGCTATAGTAAATCTCGACTAATTAAAAAAACTATAGTGAAAATGATGATAACGTAGGTTTGGATTAGGGATGGAACGGTTCAACAAGAGTAACTCAGAGTTAGTTCTGGTACTTTTATTCAACACTTCATGCTGAAATAACTATTATATTGTTTAAATTTGATTCACAAAATTATTAGCTACTTTTGGTAACGATAAGTTATTTGACATGATTTCGGAAACTGATTTCTAAATTTATTTTCTCTTTCATTTTTTATTTACGTGAAAATCCTTTTTTAAAAAGCATTTTTTTTTTCTAAGTTTTATTACAGTCTCCGGCGAAAAGAATGGCAGAAACATATTTCGACGGTATGTACAAACTTTATTTTAATGTATATATTTTTTTTTTATTATTTATAAGAACAATACTAATGACAACTTTTATATGATT